TCACAGTTATGCCACAGCACCTGCTCAGCTTGGTTAATCCAGTGCTGACAACAATTTGGGTTTGTTTTGGTTTTTTTCTCCTGTGGTGGTTTTTATTTTTTGGGGGTTTTGGTTTTTTTTTTTTTTTTTTTTTTTTCTTTTAAACAGGTGTAAACACATGTCCTATGAGTAACACCAGAAGCCACCTGAACGGCTGTATCATAGTGCCACAGGACATCGGACTGCTTTCACAATGTGTTCTTCAGCTAAAAAGTATTTTCTTTATTAGTGAGTGGCAAGTGTTTCCATACTTCCATATCATCCACTAAGGTTAAACAGTACTCATGTGCTGCCACAGCAGCTTCTTTTTGCCTGAAATTCCTAGATATAATCCAGAGCAAGAAATACTGTAGAATTAAACCCGCTCACACACACTGCTGTTGCACATGGCAGCCTGATGTACCTCTGATTTTTTCAGCGGATCCCAAGAGAAATACCCATAATTAAGTGTTCAGTTGTCTCAGTTTCTACCCAGTCTTCTACTTCTTTTCCACTCAGGCAGAAAGTTTTTGTGGTTTGGTTTGTTGTTTTTTTTGGGGGTTTTTTTTGTTTTGTTTTTGTTGTTTTTTGTGGTTTTTTATTTTTTTTAAGTTGCACCAGCAAAGCACACTGACAAAATGATACACCTTGCATGCTCACCCCTAAAAACACTGTCCTCTTCCACAGCCCCCAAGTAAAAGGAGCTGATGAGCTGTTCATTACCTCATTCAATAGATCAAATATATTTCTCAAGCTCCTAAGCATTTGTGACCAAGTAAACACTGGAATTTCTGGAAATTACACCTACCAACATTATTCTCCTTTTAAGTCATCTGTCACTTTGCCAGAAGCATGCAACTCATTTCACCACTTTCTTTGAGTCAGAGGCTTATCAGTGTGTTAGGTTCTTTCCACCCTTGCTAGAGAGACAAAAGAACAATCAGGGATCTTAATTCTCAGTAACAGAGCACTTTTTTTCCTCCAAATTCATAACAGCCGTTAAGTGGACTAAAATCTGATGCTTTTCAGTAGTCTGTTCCCCTTTTCCAAGTTTATATCTGCATTCACTGTCACTGGACCAACAGCTCGTTATTATGAATTTTCTCATCATCTTATTTGAAAGTCAAGCCACAGATCTCTCCCTTTACATCAAATAACGTCATAGCAAACTCAATAGCCCCAAAATACAAGAAGCTGAATAGAGGAAAAACAGGAATGGCAAAACTGCCAAATATAACCACAGGACACCAGTGACGCCTAGGGGCTACTGGGGTGGGAGAAACTCTGACAGAAGACAGTTCCCAACAGTTCTGCACTGTAAAGCAAGCCATTACCTTTGAGTGCTGACAAAAGGCACGTCACCAAACCAAGAAGCCACATTTCTGTGGCCACATTTAACTCATACTCTTATTATATTTACAACTGCAAAAAATTACCAGAAGCAGAAATAACTGTGAAACATTACCTGGTAATTTACTGCATCAGCAGCACTTCAGTTCTCCCAATATTACACGTCAGTTATCAAAGCTTATGTCCAAATGCTAGCACAATACCTTCTCTACTGAGTTGCCCAGATACCCTGTATTTGTGCACAACACTCGGATTTGTAGTTCTGTAAACTGCTTCATCAGTCCATCCCTCCTCTGCATGTTTAGCTCAGCAAGGAAGCCAGGTGCTATCAGGACAAAGGGGTTTTCAGACTTCACATACACAGAATTGCTCATGTATTTAGGGTCAATTCAGAAGACTTCAAAGAGACTTGGATGATGTGTCGAACAAGCATGTTTTAAAATGCATGTCTCGGCAACAGAGTGCACACCACTACACAATTCCACCCTGGGTGTGAAGGCAATTCACCTGCGTGGGGAATTGTTTCGTGGTACAAACACCTTGACTTTGCAGCTCAAAAATATCTGGGTCCCTCATGACCAAAATAGGGTTTGCACTAGCTTGTTCTGTTTTAAAAACCCACAAACCTCTTACAACAAAGTCATGAAAAAAGAGACCTAATGAGGGTCTCACAACCTGTGTACTCCTAAACTGGAGGGGTGGTCCAAAGCAGCATCCCACACCCACTAAACTACATCACTGCTCACAGTGAGAAACCAGAAATCTTCAAGCCTCCTCATTTTCTCCACTCAGAGTATAGAACAAGAACACCCACAGAAAAGTACACAAGCTCAACATCTTTCAGGAGTCCTCAGAAGACACAACAGTTCACACCATGACAGAAGCCATACAGTCACTGTAAAAACAAACTCAAGGGGCATAACCGGAATTCTCTACCTCTAAGCTATGAGTATAAAACCAGAGGGCTGGAGGAGAAAAGGCAGCCTCATTGAACAAAGCAAAAAGGACAATGTGTCTTCTGGTGGTTTTGGACAAAAAACAGAGAACACAGCTGCATACACTCTTACAGGTAGTAAATTTGTATGTGTTTTCAAAATGATCAGTCAATATAAAGCTTCAGTCTTCCATTTGACCACTAAACTTACAGGTCAGACAAGCTGGCAACAATTTTACTTCAGGAAAGTGAGCCACAACTAGCTTCATAGCTTGCAAGTTCTTCAGTTTGAAATATCAATACACTTACTACCAATAATGCCCATAATTTTGCTTCTACAATGGAGTAGAAGGCTCAAGGAACAAAAAGGCAACTAAAAATATATCTGTTTTATTTACCAGTTTTCTAAAAAGCAAAGTCATAAAAATTAGTCACAAGTGGCAAAACCAAAATATATTGCACAGTGTACAGAAAATATTGTTGACATGTTGACAAAGTGTCATCACAAATAAATCATCTTACAACAGTTTGGAAAAATTACAGCTTCAGAATCTTATCTATAAATGGAGGCATGTAGACTTAAAGTTACAGGAAAATATCTTAATACCACCCTGTAAATGCAAACACTTTAAGGACGCAAGATTAAGTCCATAAGTAAGCACATCCACAAAATGCTCTGAATATACTTTTCTCTTCCTTTCACTAAGTTATGGTTACAAGATGGTAATGAAAAAAAAAAAAAGAGAATTAAAAAAAAAAACAAAAGAACAACAAAAACAGAAAAAATAAAGCATGCTAAAGCAAAGAAGTTCAAAGTGGTTAAAAAGTCCCTGAAAATAATTTGTATAATTATGCTGCACAGCTTTTATATAAAGCTTTTTTTTTTCCCAAACCCTGGTCCAATTAAAACTATTTGTGTTTACACGTAAAAATGGAATATATTTAATGTTGGTATAGCTGCACTGTTCCATTTATGATTAAAACATTTAATACATCGGACTTGAACACCAACATTTTAAAATTTCTCATTCAGTTTATATTTACATATACTTAAGTTTGACCTTGCTAAACTATTAAAGACAGGAATCAGATCTCACTGGGTAGTGCTTCACACTACATTTAAGATACTGATTTTTTAAAATTGTGATTCTACTTGTTTCACAGGTTTACACACTCTGCTATCTGCAGAACCTGTCTCCAATGCAAATTTCCTCATGACACTGTCCAATTAATAACTAATTACTTTACAGAAATAATTTTTTCCACTAAGCAAATACCAGTCACTTTTGCATGTTTTTGGTGGTCAGATCTAACTTCACACTCTTTGTATGCAAAGAGAAATATTTTTCTAGAATCAAAATAACCTTTAATTTTCAGTGAATAGAAATGTTATCCCAATAAAAAAGGAAATGCTTTCCATGAAAAATATTTTTAGACAAACATATCAAAGTTAATTGAATTTCTCCTTATGTTTTTCATCCCAAGACTTACAGCTGACATCTAGCAACACTGCAACTAGAAGTCCTTTAACTAGCCAATATATGAAAGTTGCTCTTTTGTGTTCTCTTCCCACATCCAACACACATAAACAGCACAAGAACATAAAAGTACACATATTCAAGTCAATACAATCTCAGAGGCATTAACATCAAATCCTTGACAGCAAAGGATTCCAGCCACACTAAGTTTTAGATTACGCAATTAAACTATACTGAAAGTCAACGCTATTCTCAAAATCACTTCTTTTTTATAAGAACTATCTTCAAATGACAAGTAATGTCTAATCCTCTCTTGCCACGTACAATGATTAGCCACAGATGAAAAATCGATGGCTGGCCTCCTGACAGAACAAATCAGAAATAAAGGTTAAAGTTACACCAAGCTTCATCTTACAGTTGCTGAAGCATACACAGTCATCCGCTGTTGTCTTAATTTTTGTAATCTTTAAGCATAAAGATTTCTTGTGTATAAATTCTCAGAAATGATGCTTCAAGGTAATAAACAGTTCATAGTATTGCAGGGTCCATTTAAATAAAAGGCTACAAAGTTGTCCGCACTCATCTACACTTTCTTACATACTCACAGAAGTATTTTAACCCAAGACCATCTTAAAAATTAGTTCAACATTTCCCTTAGACAAAAAAGCTAAAAGCTTCCTACATTCAAAACTATAGGAAACAAACAAAGAGGATGGGATCAACTGGTATGAGAAGGGCAAGTGTGAATTGACTTGCTTGAAGGTTATTTCTTCTACTATGCTGGACCACTTCAAATATTAAGAACAATGCTAAACAGCCACTAAGCAAAATTGCAGGAACGATTTATAATGTTGAATCATTACCAAAAGAAGATTTCAAGAACCGTATGTACGTAAGGGGATTTTCAGTACTCATTAATCCACTCTACAAAAAACAGTAGGCATCAATGAAAGTTTCTATAGTTTATAAAGAAATACTTGAGGCATGTAAGTGCAAAATATGAGTCTCTTTTAAAGAAAAGCTATACCATCTTCAACAATGTCCTTATTGGGAAGAGATTGCCACCATTTAAAAAGAGATTCATTCACAAATGACTCTTCTAGAGCAAGAAAAACACATTTGTTTTTATGAACTGGATTCATCTTGTTGGACACAAGATTAAAACCTTTTGGATCATCACTGTAGGTTTGAAGCAGCTTTGAAAACAACAGGCTCAAAGGCTATGTTTGTTCTTCACTGACTTGACTCAGGGAAACTAAGTTGTTTTCCCCACTGTCTTCAATCATTTCATTAAGGTCCATTTCATCATATGATGTATAAAAATTGCTCTGTACATTGTCCTCGCAAAAAATACATTCCTAAAAAGAAAAAAGGAAAATTATAGACACACTCATAAGTCAAAGAAAAAACAACCCAGCTTTTCCACACAACAGTCCATTTGCATGCTATTCCTGATTCCAAGGGAACCTTTACATCTGTGCTGCAACTACCAGATATATTCCACTCCCCAACTTTCCCCCATACAATAATTTCATAACATGTAGTAAATCAATATAAGTACTTGCGAACTCTACTGGAAGCAGTTATGTCATAGATCATTTATCAAGTTGACATTGTATGGGCATTTCCAATCATCTTTTCCTCCACTTGATTGCTAACCCTGCAGTAATATGTTCATGTCAGTTGCAGTGCCTAAGAGACTGAAGCAACTGTACATTTACACAAGTTGGATGCTGTGGTATTAGCGCTGTGGTAACATTAACATCAGGGTTAGGATTCCACTGCAATTCTGTTACACTGACTTTTGAAATACTCATGTGCAAAGAGAGCCTCTGCACTTGATAACTTATGTGCAAAAAAGCTACATGTGATGGAAAGCTTAGGGAAAAGAGAATGCAGTCGGGTATTTGTGTGTGAAGAAGTAAAGTAGACAGGCAACAAATAAAACTGCAACGATGCTTTGTTTTCTTTTCAAGCCATTAATCCACTTATAGAATCAAGGCATGAGACAATCCTGAGAGAGAAGTCTGATAGAAAAAAGGAACAGAGTATTCCCATTAATTTTGTGCTTTCTAGAAAGCAGTGGGCATAAATTTCTGCACACAAAATAGAGATCTTTATGTAGTGAAGTTTCTGGCTGTGTTGATAAAGGATTTCAAACATACACAGAAGTTTAGAAGTTTATCTGTATTCACCACCACTTTGACTTTCCCATTGGAAAGAAGACTTATGGTAAATTAAATCAAGCCAGAAACCACTGCATCGAAGTTTGAATTTATTTTTTTTTTCTCTCCATAATTGACCACACTTCCATAGCAACTGGAAAAGTCTAACATAGGCAGCTAATGATTTCAGCACTGTTATACATGCAAAAGTAACTAACTAATTTAAACTTACAGAATTAGCAACAGTTTTTGGCAGTCCACCTTGCTGTATCCATGGATGAACTTCAATAAGCTCTCTTTTTTGTTCTTCCGTAAATTTTGGCTGTAGTTTCTGCATTTGCTTTAATTTCTGCTTATCTTCTTTTAAAACTGTTTCCAAATCTCTAAAATAAAATTTATGTAGAAATTGAGCTTCAACAGTTTCTGGGCTTTTTGCCTCTATAAGGTTACACAGTCAAATACTAACATTTTTAGAGACTATTTTTGTTCTGGAATGCTAAGCTTACAAATCTTATACTGGAAGAAAATTAAGTGTGGTTATTTCAGCAGCTTTCTGTATTTGCAGACAACTTTAACGCATCTCTGCTGGCGTGTTATCTTTTCAAATCCCATCAGTGAAAACAGTTTTCTTGGAGCTATTCAGGCAGCACCACCGGTGAAACCACCAAGAACTCCGTTTTCCCTCTGCTGCTGCTGCAGTAAGTTCCAAGTTCCCCTTCACTGGGAGGACAACCCAAAACAGACATTAGATGAACATATGAGAAATTAAGCAGAAGAAGTAAGATATATTTAAGAAGGTCATCAAGAATGGATTAAACTTCAGGATTGAGAGGGAGAGATTTAGAAAACATTGCTCTATTTCAGCAGCTGAAGTTCTCTCTCCCCTCAATGCCCCACCTTGATTGAGAAACTTAAAGAAAACCCGCACCACACAAAACATTTACAAGATGTGTACCTCCATAAAATATGACAATAAAAAGCAAGTTCCAAGAAACCAAGTACTATTTCTGTTCCTTACAGCATACCTAAGAACAGGTTGATTTTACACTTCTCAGGCAGGACACTGACAGCGAGCTTAACTCTTCTTATCACAATATCCTGTTTTGTACTATGTTCTCTTTGGCAGGCTTTGCAACTCTTACAGTCTCCTGGAATTCCCATCTATACTTGTAAACCCTTCAGGCTACTAAGACAAGCTAAGATATTTTTAAGTCTAGGGAAAAATTCTAAAGTTCTTCGATGTGTTCTCCATTTTCTCTCCATTATCCCTATGCTTCTGTACTTTGAAAACTTGTTTCCTTCCCTTTCAAAGGCCTGTATTTACTGAAACTTCCTATTCTTTAAAATACCATTCACTGCTCCTGAGAAATACAAACAAGATCAAAAAAAAAAAAGAACAACCTGCAGACTTGTCACCCCCCTCCCCCCTATATCTGCTCTTTGCTACTGAAGCAGGGAACATTTTTACCTTTTTTTTTTTTAAACTAAAGTTTTTTCTATTAGAAACCTTATGATTTTTACCTTCTACTTACTTATCCTATTTGAATGGGAATTTATGGAGAAGAATGAACATGTGAAAGGTAACAACCCAGGAAAAAAAACCCATAAGGCAAAGAAAGAAGCAGGCCACTGAATGTGGCATCTCAAGGACAAGGGCCAGGGAGTACAGATTTTCCATGCTACAGACCATCATTAGATCTAAGCATACTTGCCAGGATCTATTATGAGACTACAAGGAATTCTAGGCAAGTAGTTACAAATCACTGTCTATAAAACAGCTTAAAAAAATACACACAGCTAATTTCAACTCAGGCAATTGAACAAAAAAATACAGTAAGACTTATCAAATAATTTCTACTTTTTGAGAACTTTGAGAATTTGTTAGTATACAAAAGATATAAAGGAAGCAAGAATTCTCCTTAACCCTGAGCTAAACATTAAAACCAATTTACTTCTATTGAGACAGAGATTCATACACATCTTTCCTTCTGTACACCCTGTTCCCCCCAACGTATATACAGTTCATGAAGGACTATGACATTGGAATTACCGTGAAGGTATCTGGTAAGTCATCATAACAGTGTCATCTGTGTTTGCCATCAACAGCCATATAGGATCCTGCAGGACATATTTAATAAAGTGCTCACTTTCTTCCATTTGTGCCTTCATTTTGGTTTTATGATGATTTTCTGAGGAATCAATGCTCCCAAAGTATTTGCTGGTATGACTAGTTTCACTGCTACCTTTAAAGAGAAATTAAAAGTTTCATTATAAATTGACAAACAAATAGATTATCTGAATGGTTTTGAAAATAGAGAAGGCTAAAGAGAACTGGTAGTATGAATACAAACACTATCTTATTTCATTTTTTTTTTAAAGAGGGAATTTCTACCCCTAAGTAACTGCATTAATATTTTTAGAACTCAAAATCTCACACTAAATTTCAAAAGAATAATTAGCTTACTTTAATTAAAAACTCCGAAAGAAAAGCATGAAGGAGCATGGTATTTTCTCTTCATTATTCTGTCATACTTATATAATATCTTAATGGCTATTTTACACATATTTTAAAAAGGTTCTATACTGTAAATCAACCACAATAGAAAAACTTTCATGTTATGTAATAAAAAAAGAAATCAAGAATGAACTATGCAATGAGGATTAAAGATAATGAAAATTTTTACATGAAGCACTTGATGTTCAAGTGGTGTTTGCAATATCTCATGGTCCAACTCTTCTAAACTGCTAAGAGACTGCTCACTGCCAGTGTTACCTGTTCCGCTCCCTGACATGCCGCAGCCATTGGATCCAGACCCCAGAGACTCAGCAGCTGCAGATACACCACTCCCTGAAGATGCTGAACCAGTGCCTGAACATGCATCTTCTTGAAGTAAAATGTCAAGCAGCACACTAGACATGGAGAGTGCATCGCTATTTTGAGCATCCATTGGAGATTCAGCCTGGTGATAAGATGGGGAGGGGAAAAAAAAAATTAAAAAAAACAAACCCAAAACCAAAAAACAAGGCTACCTCATTCCTAATAATTTACATTTAGTATTATTCTAATTTACATTTAGTATTATTCTATTTCACTTTATATTCTAATGTTTACACAGTTATTCAAAGACAGACAACCATTCCAAGACCAACTGAGGAATAATGAAGTGGACTGATAGGCAGACAAATGGTCCTTCAGTAAGATTGAGATTTCAATTCAATTTATCTGTAAAAAACATGTATATAGTTTAGTGAAGAAGTAAGGAAGGCATTTGCTATTTAGTTTTGACAGCCCCTACTGTCCTGGACAAATCAGATTTTACTCGAGCCACCTAAGACATACTGGAAGTTGCTCCTACAATAATCTACCTCAAAGAGATTTGCATCAGCAGTCCAACGCAATGCATGATGAGAAGCAAGAAGGTGTTCTCAGACGCAAGCTTCCTAGGCAAAATAATTTATTTGTATGTTTCTTTTGAGCATTAACTATGCTGACTTCTAACACAGGTAAAACCTCACTTCAAGTCAGTTTGAAGATTAAATATTAGAAATTAAGGTTAACAGAACTTAGAAAAAAATGTACAATAATGGAAAGAACCAGCTTCATCCTCAACACATTCCTGAACAAATGCCCATATTGTCCTAATTTTCCAGTAAGTGATAAGGAAATTACAGAAAGTTACATCGTGCAGGTTTCTAAAGAATAGGAACTAACAGTTCGAGGAAATTCAAAGGAATTTGCCAGCAAAATTCTTACTATTAAGTTTTGTTATTGAGCTTCTTCTAATCCAGTAGAGGCATCTCAGAGCATTCTGTAAGTTACAGACTCTCACAGATGCATTGCTATACCACAGCACCAGTCAGAAGTCCATAGAGAGATAAGATTTCAGAGGACCTGGACCTACTGGAGAGAGTCCAGAGGAGAGCCACGAAATTGGTCAGAGGGCTGGAGCACCTCCCCTATGAGGACAGGCTGAGACAGTTGGGGTTGTTCAGCCTGGAGAAGAGAAGGCTCTGAGGAGACTTACTAGCAGCCTTCCAGTACCTGAAGGGGCTACAGGAGAGATGGGGAGGGACTCTTTATCAGGGAGTGTAGTGAGAGGACAAGGGGTAATGGGTATAAGCTGAAAGAGGGCAGATTTAGACTAGACATTAGGAAGAAATTTTTCGCTGTGAGGGTGGTGAGACACTGGAACAGGTTGCCCAGAGAAGCTGTGGATGCCCCATCCCTGGAGGTGTTCAAGGCCAGGCTGGATGAGGCTTTGAGCAACCTGGGCTTAGTGGGAGGTGTCCCTGCCCATGGCAGGGGGGGTGGAACTTGATGATCTTTAAGGCCCTTTCCAACCCAAACCTTTCTATGATATTACATAGTGCACTGAATACATTAGTCCAAATATGGCACTGGATGCATATATCCATGAAAATTTCTTGTTAAGTGGCATTTGCACAACTAGTATGATAGGTTTTTTTTTAATGAAAACCAAATGTATCCGTTCTCAAGATCATGAGGTAACAAGCCTGTAATAACGGAACATGACAAATTTTTGCACTGTATCAATGAAGTTTGGAAGTTTCTCTAGAAAAACATAGATACAGCAAAATCCGTTTCTCTCTGTTCTTCCTCCATTTATCCCCCTTAAGGATCAGTCTCAAGAACATCAGGCAATATAATATTTAGGCAAAATAAATCATCTGGAAAGAAACCATGGAGAAAACTTACTTTAACATGAAGATCTAAATGTTCCCCTTCCAATGCCTGCTTTCCTGTTACCTGCAGTGAACCCAAGTTCTACCTTGTAACTGCACCATCAAAGGTAGAGACCAGTTACAAACCACAGCACAAGAAAAGTAGGAGGGAGGAAGGAGCCAGTCTAAAAGCTTTAGGTTGCAAGTCTATCCCATCAGTGACTTACCATTTACAAAGATGGTCTATGGTGCCTTTAGAGAACACTAGTATTAGTCTACATATTTCTGTCACAGAAACCTTTACAGACATATTACTCCATTTGAAGTTTCTGCAAGGTTATTTGCTAAACCAATTACTCAAATTTGAATGAGCCAAAAAACAAGACCTGAAGTTACCGAATAGCTCAGCATAGTTTTAGTGCACCAAAAAAAAAAAAAAAAAGTTATGGTCTGCAAGTAGTAATTCATTCTTCCTTTACTTTGGTTGCTTGTTTGTAAACAAAGATGGGATTTCACTTTAAATCAGCTTCTTTCAGACCACTTATACATTGTTTCCCCCCTCTGCACAAATTCACTAGCACAAAACTTTTTGCTAAAAATAAAGTGCTTATACTATTTTAAATCTATTTCAGTACTTTTCACTGGGCTTATCCATATTTCTATTTTAAAAGTGGAACAAACCTGTTTCAGGATTTATTTCCAAGCTTCCTAGGGTAACTTTAGAGGAACAACAACAAGGTGGTTTTAATTTTTAAAGGTTAAGATTATTCTAATGATTTGATTTAATGTTTTATTCAGTCTGCTGAAGTTTGAATTTACTAATGACAATTATCAGTCCACCTCCTGGCATTATGTTGACTGATTACTGTCTATCATTAAAAAATAGGTCCCACAAATGAAAGGATTGAAAATGATGCAGTAGAGAGGAAAACGGGGAGGGGAGGGTTGGAGAGGAGAAACAACAGAAACCCATTTTAGGCAACTCTACATATTAACAACTTCAGATATGTTCAAGAATGTCAAGACTTCAAACAAACAAACAAACAAACAAAAAAACAAACACACCAAACCCCGTCAGCATACTTACTGGTAAGGATCCCTTTCCACTACAGTTATCAGTTGTCATGATTTTGCCTATGGCTCCTTCGTCATTTAAAGCTGCATGTAAACCTGCAGGAGCTCCACTTTCAGTAGTTTTTGTGGTTTCTTCTAACTGTAGAAGATTCAGAGGAGAACTGCACCTTGACTGGAACAGAGGTGGTGAAGCCTGGTCTTGAGGACCCACCGACTGTGGAGTGCAGGAACGGGATGGCTCATTTCGTGGCTCTGCCACAGGAACCTTTTCACTCTCTACTGGTGGATTATAATGGAATGGCTGCGTTGGAAAAAACGCCTGTTGTGGGAAAGGGCTGGGTGTAGCGAATGGTGGCTGTGTTGGAAACATTGTCTGTGAAGAGAAAGTGGAATGGGCAGGGAAGTTGGGTTGGCTGTGGTAAAGGGTTTGAGGTAAGTTATTGTTCATCTCTGGGTAGACGTAGTTGGGGAGCACAAGAGCTACAACAGGTGTCATGAGGGGTGCAGAGAACTGGGATGGTTGCATAGGGCAAGTATTTCCAGAGTCTGGGAACTGATTAAAACCAGAGAGTGAAGTCTCAGGAGCTGGAGGCACAGTCCCCGCTGCTGGAAAAACAGGAAGTGGATATGCAGGCATAACAGTGGGAAAAGACATCGCTGAATAGCTCGCTTGTGAAGTGTCTGATGGTGACCAAGCAGTAGTGTTTAAACCTTGAAGAGGGAACCGATGGGGGAATTTAGTTCCAGAAGTTGTACTGTCTGAAGACTCCTGTGGTTTAATGCGCTTTGATTTCCTGTTCTTTCCACTTTTCTTCCAAGGCTGATCCATTCCAGAAGTGCCATTTCTTTGTCCACGGCCACCTGTTAAAAAAAAACCAAAGACATCAGAAAGGATCCTACTTGCCGTCTGACAAATCCCTTCCACCTTGTCAGCCCTAGAAGTTGCTCAAAACCACGGTTCTGGACTTAGCCTACCCAAATGGAAGCATTTGGGAAGGGGTCAGGTTCACTTTTACCTCTAGCACAAGAGCTGAGCTAACTGGGCAATGAAAACCATGCTGACACACCATGGAAGAAAAGACAGCAGCAGTGGATCAATTCAGGCACAAATGTGCGTCACTCAAACAGGACAAAGCTGCAAAACAGTGGCTCCCAGAGGGGCAAACTTCTGATTACTCCAGCAATTACATCAAAAGCAATATGGGACAGACTGAAAGCATTTCCAGTGAGTTAAGGTCATGGTGAGGGGAAAAAAGCATACAGAGAGAAAGTACACATAAAGAAAATAATTGCCTGGGGGGAAAAAATGTATGCTACCTTTACAACCATATTTTAGGACAAGTCTGCACCAAATGACTCTTCCCTAGGTGAAGGATGTCCTTTCATCTGATTACAGACATGAGGAAATCCTTAAAATATCTTCCAGCAATAAAAGCTGCTCAAACTATTAGTTCGTCTACAGCTTATTTAGATAGGCTGAAAGTTTATCGAGTATAAAGAACACAAGGGGACCAAGGGGTTCCAGAACAGGTTTCCTAAATCAAGGACCTGTATAACTATTCAAATAAAAAATGAAAGATAAGAATCTGCAAAAAATGCTTGGCAGTGTCTGACTTCTGTTCCAAATCAAGTCAAGACTGAAATGGGAACAAAGATCAGTATCAAACACTTCTGAAAATGCCACCCAGAGTTTCTAGTCCTAATAAACAAAACAGTTTCACTATTACAGCTAGTCTGTGCCATTTCCATCCCACCGATCACATTATTAACTTAAAGGAAACCAAATACTTATCAGATTGTTCACCAATTCCACCAATAGTGGAATGGGGGAAACTGAATGTAAAGGGTCTGAAAACAAAACAAAACCACAAATCTGAAAAAAGGACAGATGGAAAGACAGAAGGAAAAGCAAGGGAATACAAGCACAGATACAATAAAGCTAACATGCTAAAGCATATTTTTTGTCCCTTGAAAGTAGGTGCATGACAGTAATAGTATAGTGAACAGAAAAAAATCAAAACATTAGCTTTTAATAACTGACACTTTAGTAACTATATTCCACTCTCAATCCTCACGCAAGACTTATAAGAAATAATTTTTCTGTGGACTTTAAAAATAGCATGCAACTGTCACAATTCACAGTGGCCCCACAATACAGCTGAAAATGGAAATGCCCTGTCAACAGGATTTACTTCCTATACAAATATGAGTTTTATAGTGAAAACTATTGCCATACCACGTTCACCAGGCCGTCCTTTTGGTTTATCTTGTAAGTAATAATTGCAGTGGGACTGAAAAATATTAAATCTCTTGATTTCTTTAAATTTATTCAAAAAGCTCTGCTCCTCTTTTTGAGTATGCACTGCAAGGACTTCCTTTGTAAGCCCTAGTTTTTTAAATGGTTCCTTTTCTTGATTAACATGTGCAGAGGTGGATGGAGGGGTAAGAAGTTGGCCGTCTAAGAGTTCTACTCCACTTGGACCATCTTCTATCATTTCTACAGAAATAGGAGGAAAAAAAAAATCAATAAGTAAAAAGAACTCTGTATATGCACTTTTAAGCTATTTATTACATTTCTGTAATAATTTTGCTTTAAGATACACATTCTGTCCCTATTTACACCATTTCCATTGTAGCTGTAAGAAAATGTAAATCACAAGCAGATACTAGCTGTTCACATGTCTGAAGTTTAAACTTGCTAGCAATCGCCATTTTAGGGAAAACTCATACCTAATTCAGGTTGTGTTTTTTTGTCTCCAACATGAACAATGGTGCTACTGTAGCTGCACTGACTTGTGAGAGAGACAACACTTTCAGGCTTTCCAGGTAAAGCCAAAGATGTCAAGTGAGCACCAACCACTGGAGGACCATTTGATTTACCAGATGCCTTCAACACAGTAGGATCTATTAAAAGATATAAAGTTGTAGTTTACTGAACATAAACAAGTGTGAATGCAAGCTATATGTGCTGTGGTTGCAAAACAGTAAAGGCTAAACTGTGCTTGACAAGACACAAAATGAACATTTTACTTTATGCATTTCACCAAGAATGTTTTAGGAATAGAACAACTTCTGAGAAACCAAATCCAATCCTTTACCTTCACACACAGCCAAACTCAATTTTTAAAATGAAGGATTTTTTGCTCTTTCCTGGTCTTAGCTCTTCTTTCATGGCACAATTTTTGAAGAAAGTTTCTAGCCTCTTCCAGCTTCAGATAAAGTCCCACCCAGCTCCCATATTGTTGTACACTAATCTCTGTCATTAGCTTGTTATCCTAACAGCTCTTCTCTGAGCATTCACTTATTTAAATTCTCTCACCTGAAAGCTACACACAATAATCCAGCAGAGGTCATACCAGTGCCTCATAAAACGGCATTAAAACATTCCTTCTCTAGTCAGAATACTTAGCATAACACATATTTAAGACCTAAAGTTTGTCTTTTTGTATGCTGGTGGCTTCATCATTCTCAGTCATCAGTGCACCAAAAAAAGCTAGTGAACCCACATCTTCTCCTGTCAACTAGAACTGCATAGACTTCAAATGACAGCAGAAATTGTGTTCCTAATTGTATGACGAAATTCCACCATTTCTCCCTCTCTTCATAAAGCATTTCAGTTCCGTACAGGACACGTTGTTCCTCGGCACACTGATACCTTCTAATTTGATTCTAAAAGCTGCATTAGAACTTCTTTTTGAAGCCCATCAAAAGAAAACATAGCCAAGATCATTCCCAAGACCAATTTGTAAGGAACTCCACTAGAGACTTCCCCTTCAGCATAATGTAATGACAAAAGCTGAATCAGTAAGTGTCTCATTTACATATAGTTCTTCACCAATCTCACAATTCTTGTACTAACCAAACAGTTGCATTCTTCACTTCAGCTCTCCATCCAGACAGGGACTGTATCAAACACTATACTTAAGTCCAAACAAATTAAATTAATGTTTTTGCCTACAACAGACTTTTTAGATAGCTATCCTCAGTAATCCCCATCTTTTATTTGCATGGCTGGACATTCCTTTCAAATGAGTTATTGCGGCTCACACAACACAGAGCAGTCTGATGCTGCATTTTACCCTCTCTTATTCCTTTTTTTTTTCCATGTCCACAAAGTAGAAATAAAAGTGCTAAATTCCTGTTTTTCTTGCAGTTAATTAGCTGCCAGATTCTTCAGCTGTTCTTACAAGACCCAACTGTGAAACACTTTTTACATTTGGTAATGATTCAAGATGACCTAGAACTCGAAATCCTGCTATATTTTGTACAGTATAAATAAGCTTACTGTATCTACAATCCACATATTCAATCAACCACTCAGTATTTTGATTGAAGGGAAGCTTTTAATGATGAAAGTTAGATCAGCAATATCAACACTGAGAAAACAGCTATGAGGTCGTGCGTAAGTTACACTTGTCATTATTCTGCAAAGAAGTAACAACCAACTGCCTGCTAGCAAAAATCAATCAGGAAAAAGGTATTATATAGAGATACCTCCCAAGGGCTGTACAACATTATCAGCTGCTTTTTGTTCATGAACTCCAGAATTCAGTGATGCAACACTTGATGAAGGTTCACATTTTCGTTTTGCTGTACCAGGCACATTACAACTCTCCAAGTACCTAAAACACAATGATTTAACAATATTAGATATGCAAGTCTTAAGTGTAGAGGTCAAGAGTAATTTATACACTGTGTGCTTACCTGATGACACTGTCCAAACAGCTAATCTGTTGGTAAGAATATACAGGTTGTTCTTTCCAAGCCAATTCTTCAGTAGTAACATTTTTAGGAGTAGCTGTTACTGCAGTATCCTTTCCCACTATATCCTTCATCTGACCACCAGCACCATTTTGTTTTTCTGTGAAAAGAGATACTGCTATTATGCAATTATGACATAAAATCCTTACAAATACTCTAAAAGCAACAGTAGAAGTTCTCATTTATACATATTTCTTAGCAGGTCACAAGTTAACTCCTGTAAAGTAAGCAGGAGGTTTGTGCACTAATAGGTGAACATTGTGTAAACATTTTCCTGTCCTAAGGGATTCTTGGAGGTGTGAAGGTTAGTTAGGTTGACGCATATGAATCCTAAAAAAATAAATATTATGGCTATAAGAGAATAGATATCATTAGAATTCAAACACTCAGCATGAGGACAACTCTAGTGCCCGTGAGTTATAACAAAGTATTAGAAGAATAACCTATTAACATATTAAGAATTTAAATATCACCAGTAAGATTTTAATTTATCAATTTAAAAATTCCTGAGATTACAAAGCAAACAGGAAAGACAACATCCATAACATTTTCATCCACCTAACAGAAAATAAGATGTTCGACTTGTATGAAAACATGAGCTACAATTAAGGTATTTCAAAACAAAGTTTTAGGACATGCCTTAACTGTGTTGTTACACCATTATCAATTCAGACATAGCTGAACACAAAACATTTTCCTGAACACAGGGGAGAGACACAGGACAATATAATTTTAATTGATAAAAATGCTATCTTTATGCATTGATTAGAACTAAACTAGAAAAAATCCTACTATCATATTATACCAGGCACTAGCACAACAGACTAATATTTAATTAACTTGCTAATGTCTTACCTGCAAAAGGCTCTCTCTTACATCCCAGTTTTGCTTTATTGTCAGTGAAAATACGCTGCCCTTTATTTTTGACCTTACGGGCATCTTGACAAACCTCCTGAAAGCAGGTCATTAAAAAGAGTTATTACAAAATTCTGACATAAAACATCATGCATAGTGATTCCTCAGTAGACTAAATCTAACCTTAGCTAATCTCTATCTTACAATTAGTCTGATCACAGGAGAGATCCTGATGTATAGAATTTTATTGTGCAGCAGCAGAATTTTGGGAATTGTAAAGAGAAGAAATTTAAAGTATGATTTTTGTACACAATCACCCTGTAATTTTGCTTAATATGGTTGAGCAACTCAGATCGGAAAATATAAAAGATACACTACAAAGAAGACTTCAGGAAAAAAAAAAACCAAACAGTATCACTTTGTTAAACAAAATATTGCTGCTAATACTTAGAACTTTGGGCCAGAAGTTTAACCAATCACTGACAGAATGTTATAGAACTATAACAGTCTTCACTATCTGTGGAAGTAGTGAAGGAAAGATAGGTATCTATTTCCCTCAAACCCAAGATCTCCTTAAACATTACTTTTCTGCATAGCTCTGAAATGTATTAAGTTCTCTGTTAAACAAAAAAAAAATAAAAAAAATCCAGAGACTTCATCTGCTTCAGCCACTTGCGTTTAAGGACTGAAAGCCAAGAAAGTAACCACCTTGGCAAGCACAACAGTCTGCCATGCCTGATCACAGAAGCAGAAATCAGATTAGGGAGAACTAGCCTATAAACAATATAACTAAGTAAAGGAAAATTTTGGCTTTCAGAATTAAATGCAACTCATTAAGCTAAACAAATTTGTGAAGAATGACAGGAAAGCCAAAATGACTAGAGATGTTAACTTTTTCTTTTAACTGCATCTACATTTGGTACATTACTGTCTATCTGATTTACTTTGCCTGTGGAATAGTTCTGTTAAGCACAGGCACAACCTAACACTGCTGGTTTGTTCAGACTAATAGAATCTAACAAGTTACATCTCATTATCAACTAGATGTAGCAATGGCCCAAACTACAGTAAAGTTTTAAGCTCAAAAAAATCCTTTTATTTTATTCCATTCCATTTATTTTGTTCATATTACATAGTGTATTTTTGCAACATAAAAAAGTGATCAAGGCCAAGCTATCACTTGGTTATGCAGGTATTATTAGTTTTTATCTTCCTAGTTTCATTTGGTAAAACAGTAATTACCAACTTTCCCCTCCCAAAAGAAACTGCTTTCAAATATCCAGCTGGTTTTCCCAGAAACACAGTATATAACATATAATGGACATTAAAATAAGTTAACACACTGTACAGGTTTAAACTCTATACACAGCAACTTTCATGGCCATAACTGTGCGTCATATGCTGACACTTCACCTACACCAGAAATGCTTATTTCCCTAGACAGAAAGGTTTTTTCCATGCTAAACAAAAAAGAAAAATGACTTTTTCCTTTCCCTAACACTTTCTTCCATCCCTAAACTGAAAGGGTTATGCTAAAAGTAAAAAACCACACTTTTACTAGTTCGTTTTGTGCCACATACTTGAATAAAAAAACCAAACCTACTGGTTTATCCTTATGCGGGTCTTCATTATTATTTCCTGTGCTGTCACTGGAGGATGCCACACTCATTAAGTGCTCATGTGAACCATTGCTACCTAGACTTCCATAGCCACTGGAACCGCTGTTGTGTACAGGCTGTTAACAAGAACAAAAAATATATAAATACACAACATATGTCAGCACACCCGCTTTAAACAAAATTGAAACTGTTACCAGTAATTCCATGTCACAAAAAAAGGATTTATTTTAGTTTTGGGTTTTTTTTTGTGAGGACTCCACAGATGCATGAAATCCTTAAAACACCAACTGGAGCTTAACATACTTCAGAAAGTCTCGTCTGGTAATCGTGAGTGTAGTAATTTCCAGGATTGTAGCCAGAAATTCCAATACAGTAGTAGACAGCTAAACAAAACGTCACACAGAGATAAATGCCCTTTCTTCAGTGGGAAATGAAAAGGGTAACATTAAAGCACATGCTGTACCTGCAGTAACAGCCGATAGATTTGCTCAGTGATTTCCTGAACACTGGGATGAAGGATTCTATCCTCTGTATAGTTGGGAGCAGCAAAGACGTCTTCATTTAAGGGACCCCTGCACAAACCAGGCATATCCCAGTTCATTACAAATGTAAGTACTTCAACGACCGCAACTTCACTTTACCATCTATATATAATAAACAGAATCTGATGCTTATTCTATTGCATCTGCAACCTTTCAACCTGATAAAATACATACCCTTACTCTGAGCAAGGCTTCCCTCTTCTGAAGCAATTCTTGACAGCATTGGCAGAATTTGAAGGACTTCAAATTTCTTTTTAAAGCACACAACCCCCAAATTTAAAAAGGAAGCAATTTGTATGTGTGATTTTTTTTTTTCTCCCTGAAAATCCCTTATCTTTCCTAAGGATCACTATGTAAACCCAAGGGGAAGGAAAATAAAAATGAAAAAATTTTTAAAGTCCCAAGAGTTTATTGACTTACGTCCTAACTTTGTGTCTTCCAATAATAAATGAAACTTTTCGACTCCAAGGGTTGATGAAACTGGACCAGCTAGTGTCCATGGTTATATAGTCTCCATTTCTAGTGCAAAACCTGATTGGCGAATAGTCAAAAGGCTGTCCTCCATATTGAAGTACTGTAATGAACAATTAAAAAAGAAATTTCAGATTAATATTTGCACAATTCTACTTAACGATTCAGGATTTTACAATGATTTGCAAAGGAGGAAGCTAATACTTGAAGGAAAAAGTACCAGATGTGTCTATACATCTAGAAATGCCGGGCTACCAGAATAAGCAGACCTTCATAATACTTGACTATGTCAAGAAAATCAACTTCAGAACACAACAAGCTAAAGATGACTGAAGAAATAGCTTTACATTTTCAAAGTTTAACAAATTAACACTGCCAGATTCTTATTTTCTTCTCTATGAAATAAGACAGACTACCATTTAAAGTATGACTTCTATCATTGCATTCTCAAGAAAATTTTCCTTATGTATGAAATATTCATTTACAGTCAATTTGTTTACAGCAGACACATGCTTCATATCAAACACAAAATTGAGTGATTTATTTTCATCTATTTGCGTTAAGAACCAAGTTGTAAAGTAAAGGATTCAGTTTTTACTTGCAGAAAAATTCATAGTCACAATTAATTTTCACCTCCTACTTACTGAGGTCTTTGTAGTCATTACTATTAGCTTTTAGAAAAAAAAATAACATTTCTGCCACAGTAAGAGATCACATACTTTTTTTGTGAATTGCTAGCATTAAAGGTCTGTCATTTGGGTGAAGATGCACCAAGACTGGTGTTCCTATTAAGTCTTGAGGTAGGTATCCCAACAGAGGTACTGCTCTGGGGAAAGAAAAGCAAAGAAAAAAAAAATAAAAATCAAGTGGAATACACATATATTTAAATTGTTTCAATTTTAAGTTTTCTTTACTCTTTTTTCCTGTAAAGAGAAGGAATAATTTTAAGTTTAAACTTGTAGAAACAGCAGTGGCAACTTAATAGCAGTAGTACTCTTTGAACAAGGTGGGTTTTGTTTGTTCATGGGGTGGTTGGTTTTGTTTTTTGCTAACTTTACAAAACAATGGGATCAGACGAAATCAAGGAGTCTGCTACAGCAGTTCTGTCTTTTCTGTGTTGCCGAGCACTAAATTTAAAAGAGCATTAATGAAGTTTAATCTTGTAAAACTCTCCTGAGGGTAAACAGTACCACAATCTATGGGCTGCAAGCCAAGGCTAAGGATCACAGGATTACTATAGCTGAACTAACAACCGGGTAGTTGACTGGGACTCAAGAAAAGTTTCTCACAGACAGGTTAAAAGTTCAACTCAAAGGAGCTGCAAAGAAGCAAGCTTATTAATTAAAATACAGAATTAAAAGTAATGTTACTGAATTCCTGCACATTATCAATGACCACTTCTAATGATACAAATGACTAAGTTATGTGATGAAATAATTTGCACTGATCACTTAAAGCATTCATATTAAAGAGCAAGAATGAAAGGTCACAAACATCAGTTGGCACCTTAGCCTGAAAGCTAACCAGCAAAAAAACATGTTTTGGAAAAAAAAAAATGCTTAAAGTCAGTACTACTCAGTAATGTTTAAGAAGTTGCCAGATGCCAACAAGTCATCTTGTAAACTCAGAGCACTGGATACCTTCTCCCCAGGCCCACGCGCTGACAAAGGCCCAGCAGCAGACAGATCCTCAGGTACCTGAATAGCTTTAATGAAGATCTTGGCTGCAGTGTACCACAGACACAGGATGTGTGCTGTGATGGAACTGAAAACCATTTTGGGACAAAAGCCATCAAGATTGCACTTCCAATAACTCACTAGAATTAGATCAGTTCCCCAAAACATCAAACATACGCTTCTGGCAAAGAGGCCGAGATATTCAGGGGAAAATGAGGATAGCAACTAATGCTTTATTATTGAAGCAATTAGTTATATAATGGGTCTTAAAAGCTTGTGGATGATCTAAAGCAACAACTTGACAAAGCTGAAGCTGAAACTGGCACGAAACTCATACCAAATCATATCATTTTGACACATTAACATTTTAAAATGCTGCCTTGAACTTTAAAAAGTTCAAAGCACATAAACTCCTCTAGTGATATAACTTTTCTTAAAATGCCAATCAGTTAGGACTTCATCAAATAACGCTGTAAGAAGCAGAAGAAAACACAAGTTTTTGTTTGGAGCTGTTCCTATTCTTTGCCACCTGCTTTCTATAAGCCTGGCAAACTCTACATTTGTGCTACAACAAAACACCTATCCTAAAAGGGATCAAGTTTTAAACTGTTATTCATTCACCTAGTTATAAAGAAAGATGCAAATTCAGTCACTTCTATTCAAGAAAAAAAAAAATCCCCACTCATTTTTATACTGATATGAAGGTCACTGGAAGAATCAGGGATCTAGAATACAAGATCGATGAGTAGAGATTGAGCTGGGCTTGCCTGTTCCAATGAAGAAGAGGCTAAGGAATGACTCAAGAGCTTTCCACAACTACTTGAAAGAGGAGTTACAAAGATGAGTTAAATTTTCTTGGTGGTGCCGAACAATAAAACTACAGGCAATGGCCCCAGACTGCAGTCTGGAAAGCTTATGCTGGATGTTAGGAAAAGTTATTTAACAAAGTGAGTAGTGCAACACAGAAGCAGTTTCCCATACAGATTGTGTAATCTCTGTCCTTGGAGTATTTCAGGCAGCATTGAGACAAGGTCACAGCTGACCTAACCTACAACCAGGCAACAGTTTCATTTCAAGCAGAAGGATGGAAAAGAGACATCCAGCAGTCCCTTCCAAACAGCATTTCTGTGATAGTATAATGCTGTATTTGAGAATATTTAATTTACTAACTACTAGAGGCAGTACCTCGGCATCATTATGCTTCCTCATAATGAACAACTCAAAATAATTCAGAGTTGAAGTTAATAAACTCATTTTATGAATGCAATGCACATATGCCATAAGAATGGCTGATGAGGAGAGGGAGCAAATTTAGTCTGTGTTTTACAGAACGACATTGTAAGTGTCAAAACAACATGAATAAGAAGTCTCTTTATATTCTTATTGCCCGTTAAATAGGAAACTGCTTTAAATTCATTTACTAAGATCACTCCACTGTGAACTATACAGAACTCCTTACACCCATCATAGACATCAAGTAACAAATACATTTCAAAGACAAATATATACAGGAATGATCCATTCAATTTCAGGAAAATATCTATGTTTACTTAATATTCTGTGCAGAGATCCACTTGCAAAGTTCGGACAAATAAGCATTTTTCCAACCCATGAACACATACTGAGTACAGAATTAACTTTATTTTATGCAAGTCAGGCAACAGTTTCAGCATTATATTACGAACAATTCTCACTCAACAGCAGGTGTCCAGTTGTGTATTTTTAAATATTAGACTCTGCTTCCTCTAAGAATCTATTGTTTTGTGTATTCCACCTAACCCTGGAGACCTTAAGAGTAATAAACTGCATATGCATATCTTGATAAACATTCATCTGTCTGCCAGTGCTCTCAGGAGCTAAATAATTAAAAATAAAATCAACCACACACACTGCAACAACAGAAATAAATGAAGCAAAGTCCTAATATCAGACCAAGATGTAATCAGCCCTCACTGTGAGTGTTAGAAATGGCATTTGAGAGAAAGTGGTAACACCAGACTAACAGGAAATAAGCTTTCACGGTAGCCATAGAGAAGGGACTTACCGTACTCACTCCACCCAAGCCCAAGAATAAGGGCAAAGCTCTCCATTCAGTAATCTTGCCATTTCTGTTAAGTTACTGCTGGAAATAAATTAACTGGGGTTGCATGGAGGAAGGGAAGCTTTACATTGTGCCATTAGCCGATTTGAAAAGATAAACCCACCCTCTGAAGTTGCAGTTGGCTTGGAGCATGTGTGGGAATGCGGGTGAGAAAAATCCATGAAGAGAACAGAACTATACTGAGCTAAGTAGTTCTTTTGTCAGTTTAAGCTGTTTAGAGCAACTGTATAAATCGTACCATAGAAAAACAGTTTGTCAGCATTATACTGTCTTCTATCCTGCAGGAACTCTTCACACTAAGTCACAGTGTCTGCACAAGTTAGACAAAAATAGCTGCACCCTGAAGGCCAAATTTATCCTTGCTCATTAGCCATTGCCTTCTCCTACAGTAATCTCCAATAGCTACCTTTTGTAATTCTCATTTAATAAAACACATGTACTGCAGTAATACTGATGTGCCTGACCCCTCTGTAGATAAACTGTCTCAAAAGTCAAACAGTTTTTGTTTTTTTACTTTATCAGCTCCAGCTCAGCCAAACTTCCCAATAACCTCCTTTCCCCCAGTTAATCTCTGGCTATTCCAAAGAGGCACAACTTACCACACTGTGATGAGCCCTGGCCAGTATCTACCAAACACTGCTCGATACTATGCAGCACCCTCACGGGGAGGGGAGAGAAAACAATCAACAGACACTGTGGACACTTCAACCCCCACGACAAGCACTGCAGTCACTCCAACCCTTGCGACAGGCACGACGGATACTCCAACCCCCACGACAAATATTGCAGCTGAACCAGAGAACCAACCTGTGCCGGTTATCAGTCGCCCCTATATAGAATAAGAAACATAAAAAAAACAATCAGTTTGCTCCGTAAGGGATAATGATGAACCAGGGCCAGGGCCACCACAGGAACAGAAGGAAGAGGCAGAACCAGAGGCAATCACCCAATCCATTTCCCCAAGCGAGCTGTGAGATACGCAAAAAGGTCTCAGCCATCGTCCAGGCAAGCACATCACCACCTGGCTGCTCCGATGTTGGGGTAATGGGGCCAGTAGCTTGGAATTAGAGAGTGGGGAAGCCAAGCACCTAGGATCCCTTCCTAGGGAAGGGGGCAACTGACAAAGCAATTGAGAAAAAGACATAAGTTCACAGCCTCTGGAGGAGACTTCTTCCAGGCATGAGGGAAAGGTATCCGTTTAAGGAAGATCTCGTATATCATCATCCAGGCAAGTGGACCACCAAGGAGAAAGGTATCTAGTACGTGAGGGGAGTAGCTGTGTGGGAGATGGTTTATTATGACCCAGACAATGTGCGGTTACCCACAGATTCAGGTGAAGTCCAATGCACCCCACCCACGTGGCTGGATGTTTGTATGGAGTGCACTATCATCACATGCCAACTCACTGGCAGTAGTGGACTGGAAAGATGAAGAAGGACCAATGGTGGATGAACTGGCTGGCCAACTGACAACAGTAAGAAAGTCTCTCTTCCTCCTTTGTCTTGGCCACGGTGAAACTGGTCCAACAACTCAAAGAGGACAGATCCTACTTCTCACCTGTACAGCCTAGTGTCTCAGCTATTAGGAGTAGGCATTCCTCTGCTCAAGAGAGAGGCTATAGAGGGTACACACCATGAGGCACACTGTGGTTTTACCTGCATGACTATGGAGAAGGTAGGAGGAAGTGTGATGGGGAACCTACCTCTATCCTAGAAAAGCAGACACGTGAGTTGCAGGGAAAAACAATTTCAAGTGGAGGTTCCTCTAGGAAAGCTGACGCTCTGGTCTCCAGTGCGCAGTTTGCCAGGCAGAGTAGGAGAGCTGATCCTACTCTCAATCCCTTTCTTGGGCCAGTCCAGGCAGGACAAGATGTTAAAAATGTGCTCTACACCACAGCTGGGGACAATGGACCTACCTGAAGTCTTTGGCAGAAAGCACCAGAGGAAACTTGAGCTTGACCCCTAAGTTTTGGAGTTGGGGATACTGAGAATCGGAAGCCCACTATACTCCAACTGAGAAAGATAATAGCAGCATATGAAGGAGTTTGAGCTGCTTTGGGAATGATTGGTATTGAATCACAGCTCCTCCTGGCACCCCAACTGCTGGTGATGGGCTGGATGTTCAAAGGGAGGGTCCTCTCTACACATCATGCAACTGATGCCATGTGGAGTGAGTTGCACTGATCACATAACGGGCTTGGACAGGGAGCTCTAGTAGCCCAGGGATTTTGGAAATGATCATGAACTCTTCATAAGGCAAAGATTTCAGAATGTCACCAGGAGGAGGAGGTGACACATGCTGAAGAGGCCCCATCATATAATGAACTGTCAGATAAAGAGAAGTGATATGCCCTGTTCACTGATGGGTCCTGTCACACTGCAGGAAAACATCAAAGGTGGAAATCTGCTGTGTGGAGTCCTACATGATGAGTCGTAGAAGCTGCTGAAGGAATCAAGCCAGTTTGCAGAGGTAAGAGCCATCCAGCTGGCTTTAGATTTTGCTGAATGAGAAAGGTGGCCAGTGCTTTATCTCTATACTGACCCATCGATGGTGGCAAGTGTCCTGCGGGTGGTAGTTGCAGCAATGGAAGCAGAGCAACTGGCAGCGCAGAGGTAAACCCATCTGGGCTGCCCCATTGTGGCAAGATATTGCCACGCAGGTAGAAAAGCTGGTATCTCATGTAGAAGCTCATGTACCCAAAAGTCAGGCCACTGAAGAACATCAAAACAACCAGCAGGTGGATTGGGCTGCTAAAATTCAAGTGTCTCAGGTGGATCTGGACTGGTAACATAAGAGTGAACATAAGAGCTCACTGGGCTCATGATGCCTCAGGCCATCAAAGAAGGGCTGGAACATATAGATGGGCTTGTGATCGAGGGGTGAACTTAACCATGGACACTATTGCACAGCTTATCCACGAATGTGAAACTTGCACTGCGATCAAGCAAGCCAACTGGTTAAAACCTCTCTGGTATGTGGGACAATGGTTAAAATAGAAATATGGGGAGGCCTGGCATATTGATTACATCACATTCTCACAAACCTGACATGGCATGAACTACATACTCACAATAGTGGAAGCAACCACTGGATCGCTGGAAACATATACCATGCCTCATGCTACCACCCAGAATACTATTCTGTGTCTCAAAAATCAAGTCCTGTGGCAGCATGGCACTGCAGAAAGAATTGAGTCAGGCAAAGGGACTCAGTTCCAAACAACCTCATAGATACTTGAGCCAAAGAACATGGCACTGAGTGGGTGTACCACAACCCCTATCATGCACCAGCCTCCAGGAGAATTGAACAGTACAATGGACTGCTTAAAACTACACTGACAGCAATGGGTGCTGGAACTTTCAAACACTGGGATACACACTTAGCAAAAGCCACCTGGTTAGTAATGCTAGAGGATCTGTCAATTGAGCTGGTCCTGCCCGATCAGAACTTTTACATACTGTAAAAGGGGATAAAGTCCCTGTAGTGCACATTAAAAATATGCTGGGGAGGACAGTCTGGGTTATTCCTGCCTCGGGTAAAGGTAAACTCATTTGTGGGATTGCTTTTGCTCAAGGATCTGGGTGCACTCGGTGGGTAAAGTAGATCGGGGAAGTCCAATGTGTACCTCAAGGGTATTTGATTTGGGGTGAAAACAGCCAATGAACTGAACTACATGATGCTAATTCCTAAATAACCCTGCCACTGCATATCATCATCTCTATGGCTGCTATATACTAACAGCATTATATTAAGAATGACCCAGGTTAATGAAGAGTGAGCTTTGATGGAGTCAGGACTGGTTTCAACAACTGGCACCCAGCAGCTTCCTCAAGATCAAGATCTTCAACCTGCGGACCGTGGGCACGGCCCACATCAGATACACCAGCTAGGAGCTATAGATGCAGCATGCAACAGATACTACACACCATCCTCCTGTCGCATCCAATGTCAACTGCCCACCACACCGCACCGAAAACGTGGTCCCCACTCTGCTGATGAATGTCACCCACTCCACTGACCGAGCAACCTCTGCATCATCTCTTCTGCCGTGAAAGACTGTCATGAGATGTGGAGCCCAAAGTTACAGACTAAATGAACTCAGACATTTTGGAGCTATGGCCCATAGACTAAGGGAATGATATCTACATGCATATATCAAAAGACAGGAAAAGCTGTGGTGATTAATTGGAATGTATTGGAAAGTGTGTGACTTGAGCATGACGTGGATAGCATGGAATAAGGGGTGGATACTGTCCTCATTTTGGCTGGGATAAGAGTTAATCTTCTTGTTAGTAGCTAGAATTGTGCTGTGTTTTGGATTCAGTATGGGATTTGGTATGAGAAGAATGTTGATAATATACTGATGTTCTTAGTTGTCACTAAGAAAGCAAAGACTTCCCAATTTCCCATGCTTTGCTAGTGTGCAGCTGCACAAGCAGCTGGGAGGAAGCACAGCCAGAGCAACAGACCCAAACTGGCCGATGAGATATTCCATATCATGAAACATCATGCTCAGTGTATAAACAGTGGGCCAGGAAGTGCTTTCTTGCTCTCTTCCAGGATTGTGGTTTTGGTTTTTTTGCTCTTCTGTGATCGCTAGCTAGGACTGGGCTAGAAGGATTGAGCAGCTGGACAGTGTGTCACTTGTTTGTATACTCTATTATCATCACCATTATTATTTTATTTCAATTATTAAATCATTCTGATCTCAAGTCCCCTTACCTTTACCCCTCCAATTCTCTTCCCCATCTCCCCAGACAGGGAAGGGTATGTGAGCGGTTGCATGGTGTTTAGCTGCCAGCTGTGTTTAAACCACAACATCAAGGGAAGAGGAAAAGAAATAAAGGGGAAAGGTAGCCTGTGTTTTCAACACAGGAACAAGTCAAGTCAAGTCTTCAAAACACTGTGATATTCCAAAGTGCATCCCCGTCCTTAAAGCTTGTTGAGATTATTATTTCCTCCTCAGCCAAGTATGCTCCTAACTCTGAAGGAGTATCTTCCGTTCTGTTCACTGACTTCACATTTCTATCACCTAAACATCCTTTGAAAGGCCCCAGGCAAAAGCAATCCAGAAGACTAAAGGAAACCTTGATTTACACCTTAGTTCCTGAGCCTCTGTGTATGCCTTAAGATCACAGGCAGCATATTTGGTTCTATTCTGAAACATTAATACTTACTCTAATCAGCTTCCATGATTGTCAAAGCAATGTGAAGTCTTCAGACAGCAGAATTTGACCAGTTTTTGTATACAGACAACAGCAAGAACTATGAAGACTGGAGTTTCAACTGAGAACAGATTTTTTTTTTTCTTTTTTTTTAAGATCTAATGTTGTATTTAAAAGACACACCTCTAGTTGTATCTGGGTCAGCAGAAAGTGACAGCAGCATATTGTTATTATTTGGATCAAACTTAAAAAAAAACAAAACTAAACTAAAACGTCTCATACAGGTAATGACCATTAACACAGGAATTTTCCTGACCGTGGGTTTCATTCATTGAATTTATGTCCAGATTTGCCTCAGATAGAAGGAAAATTAAAGTACAAGTTGTTACCAGGCAAACAGTTTTCCACTTAAATACCACAGTGTAACATGTTTTGATGCTTTTTGAAAATTGGGGGTTAAACACTGTTTAGTAGTTACATAATTTTTTAACTCCCCCCAGACATCTTAACTAAATCCTAAAAATTCCTGTAAAGATACTGGATAGCTTGTCAGTAAATTGAAAAAGAATATTTTTTTGCAAGTTACCTTTCATCTACATCCTGGAACAAACAGGTTGGTGTGTGCGTAGTTGTAAAAATTCTTTTGTCAGGAGGAATTCTAGGTGCTGAGAGAAAAATAAAAGATTAATAAGTGGGTTTTTTGCATATATAAAATACTTCAGGCTACACATTTCTATTGAATACTGAGTAAAGTCTAAAAGTCTGTCTAAGAGCATATAGGAAAACAGCTTACTAGCTCAGCTTCTCAACAAAGGCAGAGAGCAGAACCAATTATCTTTCATTTAAAACTGGAGATCACCGACAGTAACTCATAGTTGGGTTTCTTAGGCTGAAATTCATCTGTGCTACACCACATGGAAATTCCCATGGCAGAACATAGAACAGTTCTTACTTTCAGGAAACTAAACTAGTCTTTGTGCACTCAGAGGCTTACCTTCATAACCAGAATGTACTTTTTCTGCAAGCAACACACAGCAAAGCTGGTCCTCTGCTATTTCTGGATCTTGCACTTTGATAAGATAAGGAGTCATCCGAAACGGGTGATAGCAAATCTCATTTTCACGCTCCTTTCCCGCACTAGTAATTAAACAGAGTTAATTATTTCAACAGATACATCTTGTGCTAAACAAAGCTTTCATTTATTTATTGTAATTTCCTCATGACACAAGGACTGTATGGTAGCTCCTAAAATAGCACCCAAGAATGTAACTTTCTGAATTTTTTTTTTTTTTTTTGTGGCAGAGAAGCTAATTCTAATGGCATCCTTTGCATACCAACGGCAACAAAGAATCCTCTCTACTTCCTGAAATAAAAAGAACAATTGCTTTAAATGGAAATTGATGAAAAAAGAAAAATGCATCTCCTATGACAGATTAAGTTATTTTGTTGAGCCAATAATCTTAATCTGTGACATTATACCCTTCAGAGGGATGAAGACTACTACATCTTCTCAGTTAACATAAAGACCTTCTTTTACTGAATATTTATCCCTATCTAAAAAGAACAAAGACTCAGAAATTCTTACCTATAATAACAGTTATTTACTTAGTAAGAATCTAAAGCACAGTAATGAAAAAAACAACCATTTACACAGTGATAAAAAAAAATTCAGTTGTAATAAGTTTGTAACAGCACAGCTTTATAAAACTAAAGCTTTTGGAACCAATATTAGTTGGATACAAAAATCTACAATAATACTAGCAGCACTTTTACAGTACATCCAACCCAACGCTCTGGAGCAGTGCACTGTCTGTATTTTGTTTAAAGTTTACTTGTACCTTAACGATAAGTATTTATTTACTCTAGAAGTAATTAAGCAATAGGATCCACAATTTTTTTTACGGAAATGCTACCAGAGATGCAACAAGCAGTTAAGAAATCAAATTGCACAAGAAAGAACATGGAGTAAGTTGCCAGCATTTCCTAAATAAAAGCAACTAAAGGGAGAGGGGGCAGGCAGCAAACCCAAAGGAGCTGTGTCATCTAGTAACTGCAAAAGAGAAAAGTCGTTACCCTCATGTATCTCTCTCTATGGGACACCTGAGATAAATTTAATATTAGACATTAGTCTTTTGGAATGAAAGAGAGTCTGTAGCAGGTGCTCAACAGAACAGTTCAATTAACATGAACTGAAGACTTTCCATATCAGCTTCCTTTATGTTCAAAGGCAATATTCACACTGATCAACCTCTAAGATGCAACTTCCTGAAATCACTTTGCAGTTTTCTCTGGAGCTTCTAGGAGTTAATCAACTATAGGACACGCATATGGTTTTGCCTTATGTTCACATTATGGAAAAGTAAGAAACTTACATACCATATAGTTCTTATAAAAGCCAAATACTTTTGTAATGCATGGTTTCATAATATAACCCTAAGCTTTATAATACTGTTGTCTTACCTGATGCGACAGAAAAAAGATTTCTCTTCCATGCAGTCCTGGGTGGAAGACTCTGGAAATATTAAACAGATTGCATAACAAGTTACATATTACTATGATATTATGATATTTAAACCAAGAATTCTTCCTTAAGCGATATAGGCTGAATTCTTTAAAATGTTTATGTTCCCTGAAGTCTCTGTATGTATTTCCTAAACAATGTACTTCTTAAGCAACTAAATCTGAATACCACCCAGATTGTGAGGCTGGTGTGGGAATCACAGCTGCTTGCTTTTTAAGCCTTCTACCAAAAACATATCTCAGCAGTTCCCTAGTTTGAGCTGTTGACTCGATCAGCTTTTTCACTGTACTTTATAGTGTTGACCAAAAATTTGATTATCTGGAACTCCAAACTTTGACCTTTTTCGTAGAAAGGCACTAGGGCAGCTAGATCATCAAATCCACTTACTGCTAGCCTCCCTCAAAAGAAAAGAAAAGAAAACAAAACAAAACAAACCCCACAACATGAAAGCTTCCTCTCACTTTTTAAGCATATTTCCCTCCTTCTCTAGAGTAGTCAGAAACTGATTTTCAAGGCAAGCTCTGGTCTTTCAAAGGCCTGTGTGCAGTACTTCTGGATATTACATTCTGCGGCAGCTGATACATGGGATAGTGTATGTAATTCCACTTACCACATTTTTGAGATTTGAAGCTATACACAAACATAACAAAACTACAGCAAATGTTTCAGAAAAAAAATGCATAACTGAATAATATCTGTAATTAACATCACTCGGTCAGAATTCACCATGATCCTGTTCTGAGCCAGAGGTTGGATTAGAGACCTCACAAGGTCCCTTCCAACCTGCTTTATGCACGCATTACTTAGTACATACTTATTGCTAATTGTTTTTTTCAGATTAAAAATGGTTCACATTTTTACTTAATAGACTTAGTATATAATGGATGGGAATTTCAAACATTTAGAGCAGATCTTGAATTTCAAGTGTTTAGTTAAAATAGTTTGCAGCTATTTCTCAATTCCTAACAGCTGTAGCTATTCTAGTAAAACAATCCTTCTACAAACAAATATGAAGTGCCCTAAGACATTGGATCCTTCATCATTAGCATGCCTAACATAATTTTTCTAAGGCTAAAAGAACAGAGCCATGATTACACTTGGTGAATGCACAGTGACAGTAGCTGAAGTACATCTTTCTACACTGTAATCAAGGTGTCCAGTATTCAAATCATAACCAGTTTAAAAGGAAGGAGGTATTACCCCCCTTATATCCAAAGAAAATAAATTTTAAAGAAAAACTGTGGTCATTTGATTGCTATCGAAAGTAGAAAGCAAACCCACTATTCAGCATGAATACCTGCTTTGTTTTCATTCATCATTTGGATGAAAGGGGCACAAGAACCAATAAACAATGACATTCAGAAGACTTTTAGCCAACAGACAAAGCCTTGCTGATTTATAAAACTGTGTATTGTTCAGAGATGTTCTAATAATGTATCCGTGTTATACCCTCAAAAAGTGATGCAGAAGGATGAAGGATATTAAAAATCAGCTCAATTATCTGTATTTGTGTGACTGAAACATCAGAGAACTGTTGAGACCACTCACCAGCTCTATTGCAAATATTCCATGATGGTAATCTGTATGGGGTGGTAGAAGTATAGAACACACTGACGTCCTGAGGTGCCAAGAGCTCCACAAATTTGGCATTTTTAAAATAACCCTTCTTACAGTGGAGAATAGAAGCAGCTTGATCAGAGATGTACAAAATTTTCCCAGTGATCAAAGAAACAGCTACAGCAAACATATCCTGAAAACAGAAAGCTCAAATTATTTAGACAGTTTAAAACATTCTTCAATCCAGTATGTATTTCTTAGAAAAATGCTTAAGATATAAAAGCATTAATAAATTAAAAATAAAAATTAAGGCCATGGTATTAAACCATATTTGTTTAGGGAGCAATAAAATAAAATTAATCTGCTTATGAAGCAGACATAGACAATACACTTTTTGAACTATGCAGTAATACACTAGCTATCTTACCAGGTTACAAGCCCCAAATATCATGGCCTAAAATTTTACTATGTAGAATGAAACTATGAATTAAGAATTAGAGAGCTTCCAGCTACAAAACAGCACATTTTCCCTGTGCTTGTTACAGGCATATTTTACATTCATGAAATTCAACTGGTTTGTGAAAGGCTGTTTATGTTAGCTTGCTCATCCATCGAAAAATGAAAAAAAGTGCTCTAAGCCACTTGGTAAACAATGAGAGGTGGAAGAAAGTCCCACACAACCATACACACACACACACCACTTGTATCATTTCACATTTTTTCTTCTTGACACAGAAGAGCTTCCTGCGTCATAACCTGTACTGCTCTATCCGCTAACACTATACACAAACTTAAGAGCTGTCGTCAGAACACTGGTTTCACAAACTCAGATGCTTCAGATCAATTGAACAATGTTTATCATATTTGGTTGAAGTTCTTAGTTGTACTCTAGACTTCCTATTTATTTCACCTTGTGGGCAACCTTTGCTGTTCATAGATACAACAAACCCCACCTACTTCAAGCTAGGGAACATCCCCCATCATGGCATTATTTTATTCATTTCAGAACTTCATATATTCAGGCAGAGGCTTCAAAAAAAAAAACAAAAAACAAACAAAACAGTGAAAGGCAGTCTAAGCTTAGATGCAATTATTATTATTTGAAAACTCCATAATATATCCCTAAAACACCAGGAATGTAGAAAATAAATGTAAAAAAACAAAACAAACAAAAAAAACCAAAAAAAAAACCCACTATAATTTTACTGATTTTACTGCTGAAACCTACATTGATTGTCTTAGCTGTTCTTATCTAGATGAGAAGACACAGTATCACTGGATCACATGGTAAGCCTACTCCAGTTGCAAAGACTAGACAAATACCACACCAGAGGACACAACACACAGGGATTCCAACATTTTCACCACTTTTCAGTCACACTAACACAAAGAACTGGTGAAACATAAAATAATCCCTACTGATAAGGATAAGCTGAAACAGTCCACCTTGACTAAAATTGTGAAAGTTACTCTGCAACTTTAGCAGGTGTTCTAAAATGTCTGATCTATTGTCTATTGAGACAATCTAACGATGTCTCAACAGTGCATTATATCACATGGATGCTGAGATATGTCACACCATCGTCTCTAAGCACAATGTACAATTCAGAGGACCAAGGAGTTTATACTACTTATTTCCCACCTAACTGAGACGAAAAAAAAGCTTAGGTGGAGGTGCTATTGGCAAAGTCTGCAAAGGCACAGAGTTTCTACTCAATATCCCCTGGGAGGCAAAAGACAGCTTCTTCAGCTGATTGGCCTAGCTACCAACTCGAATCTTGTAAAAAGAAGGCATGTCTCAGAAGTCCAGCTCTAAAAAACATTTTCAGTACACACTACAGCCTTAGGCCACCATACTCACTGCATTTTTCATGATGTATTCTGAGGTTATAGTCTCAACTTCTTCCACCGTGTAAGACGACACGTTGAGTCCAGCAGGCTGGGATTCATTAATCATCAACAACTGGTAATACTCCTCATTGGCTACACGAGAACATTAAACAACTTATGTTCAGAATTAAAAATCTCATCAATAAACATCCAGCCTGGAAGCAGCAAAAGGCCAAAATATTTTTTGGCATAAGCACAGAATGGACAGTTGGGAAATCCAAGTATTACTCCAAATTAGTTTTTCCTTGGTAGAGCTTCTTCATCAGCAACTTAAATAAAGTTACCCATCTTAATATACCCATATGTGTGTGATCATATATTTTGGTATGTTTGACAGTTCAAATAGTATAAAATGGTAAATAATTTTCAATTAATTTTCTAACTCAACAAAATATCAGTAAAATATCAAGCATCTAGAGAGCTGCTTTCACTCCCAAAGGAACACAAGCTAACAGAGCCACCAAATGGGAATACCAAGAAAACATCTGTTTGGAGAGGTTTTAAAACATAATAAACTTAGCTTTACACAGACAATCACATTTCAATTCCTATTTTAAATGTTTAATTTTATCCAGGTTGTATCTAGGTAGTATCATAATTGATTGATTACCTTTAACTTGTTTAATGCTTTTAAGGGCATATTTCAATGTTGTTAGGACACTAGATTTGCCTTTAATTCTCTTTTCAGAAGGAAGGTGAGCTTTCAGCTCTTGTAACGTTTTCAGCAATTCCTTTTGTGTTTTGGCTTTAGTGGACTGCTCACTACTGTAAGATTAAAGACAAAAAACAAAATGTCACTTGAATGCTTGAAGTGACACACCATCCTCATAGAAGCCCAAATACACTAAATTTGTACAGCTAGTCACATTAACTTTTCCAGTACTTAATATCAACATTCAGAACTTACAATAATTCTTACATCAGCTGGGATAATTTAAAATTCAAGATTTACCACCACCTGAAGTCTTATTGTAAAATGTACTCTGTATGTACAACAGTACATATACCCAAGCACCAGAGAACTTTTTTTTTTGCCAGTCTCCCTCCTCCCTTTTTAGTGGTATTTTCCTTAGTTCCTTTCAAATTCAAACTCATAGAAATGTTCATGGACTTCAAAGGAGAGAAGCAGGAGGTCCATTCAAGTCTTCACCTCCTGTTCGAGCAGGTTCTCATAAGAAAGGTCCCTGAAAAGGGAATGGCAGTGGGAGAGCATCAAGTTAACAAAACAAATGGAGAAATCCTTGGAACAACGTATCCCAATTAAGCATGGTAATACATTAAATAAGATAAAGAAACTTGACTAAATATGTAGGGTAAAGAATCAGAGGAGGCTGGAGACAGAAACTGCATTCACACTTCTCAGGTGCACGTTCAGAAGTGCTGCCTCAGTGCAGAGGGTCAAACTACAGAGATTGTCAGTGCCAACATCAGAAAATTATCATTTTCCTTTTCACTTCCCAATATCTCTCCCCATTATGAAGAGGTGCTGACAAAATCAAAAAGGAAGAGAAAAGAAGGGAAGGGAAAGGAGGGGGAAGATGACAAAGATGGTGGCAGGTGGGTAGGAAGCAGTTAAAATTAAAAGTCACCTTGTCTTTCTCATTGGAGTAGATTTTAAAAGCTAATCAGTCACAACAACCAAGAGGATTTTAGAACTTTTCTTAAACCTTCCTGAAAATAAATGCCTTCCCACCAAAAGGAAAGTCTTCTCTTATCACCTGATTGTCATGGCTGGCAGTCTCTAAGAAGTTACTCTAAGAACCACTGTAGAAACAACAGTCTTGGCAACTGCACTGCCCTGTCTGAAGTGCTCGATAAAGTAGCTTCAGCTTCCAGGTAATTTTCAAGAGGATTTCTTAATATTTTTCTAGGAAGTTTAAAAAGTTCTTCAGATAGAAAAATTATCTGACAGGTTTTGGGTGTATTTCACCAAAAATCCTTGGAAAGCGACAAAGCTGGCTTGCACTAGAGAATACACATTGTTCTTGCTTACAACACAATGTACTATGAGAAACAGAGCATTCACCTAATCAGTGGTCATTTTGTACTGAGAAATAATGGCAAGGGGCAAGACAAAAGAGTATAGTACTCCCTTGGGAAACATAATGTTCATTCTGTGTATTAAAATCACATCTACAATGTGGCCTGACAGTTTGGACTGATGCAATCAAACAGGGCCTTGTTAATAGAAGAACCCTCTACTCTGGCAGTAGGGAAGAAGAAAGATTATGAAATAACCGAGCATACTGCTGTTTTTGTATTCTCTGAGTATGCTTCATGAGAGCAGCCACAATCTTCTGCAAGAAAATGAACCTTTCCAAATTGGCCTAGAGCAGCAGCAAATACAGAAGATGGGCCTCCTTGAAAAATAAGTTATACAACTCAAAAATGTTTTTACAAAGATCAGTAGCGTCAGGCACCATAGCCAATTACAGGGAAGGTGTGACTTGCAGAGGACAGAATAAGCAAGTTCTATAAAGACAGAAGCTTTCCATTTTCCCTTATGTGGACAGTGAACCAGAAAGGTACCTATAGATATTAAACTAAGTAGTTGGTTGGTGCTGATATTGAACCCAAGACTAAATCTATAGCTTATCAGCCTATTTTAGTCTTCTCTCTAAAGATCACTCTCTAGATACCCTCAGTGCCCCGTTCCCAAAAGATGATCAGATTCTGTTCTGCAATCCTCTAGCACTGTGCCTGACAACCAGGGAAAACACTGTACCATCTGGATTCCTATTTCTTTCTGAGCAGAGAGCTGTTACTGAAATTTAAAACAAAGAGGTATCACAAAAACTGTAATAAGTAACCTCCAAAAATCTTGCAGTGAAGAACATGGAATAAATCGGAAAGGAAGATCAAGAAATGCCTTTAGTTCACTCTCTCTTTCATACTAAGCAACATGAACTCCAGAACACAATTTACAATTGAAAACACAGCATGGAACAAGATCTCCAGGTGCCTGCAAGGCAGACACAGAAAATAAATTCATCAAGCACCAAATGATGCAAGGGTGTAATTTTAATTTACCACTTCTCTAGGAACTGCATCAGGTAGAAACAGTTTCAGGTAGGTACATGCAGACAGAGGCCTTAACATCAGTATGCTATAGCTAGATATCCTTGATCTGCTCAGGATCAAGTTTTGGTCTCCTGACTTTTAAGCTAACTTTAAAAAAAAAAAACCCAACAAGTACAGTAGGGCACTCTGAAGTGTCCAGATTTGAGCCTTCAATGCCACCACGTTTCTCAAGGCTATCAGGGTCAGAAGCAGAGCTCATACAGAGGGGATTCCTGCAGCTGGTGTTGGTTTATCCTTACAGACTTGAGGCTTGAATCCTGGCGAATGGAACACAGGAGAGGCAGATAATATGGCTGCTGAACATCAGAATACATCCAACTCAGTGGGTGAGTTCTGATGTAAAACACTACTAGGCTGTCCCCAGGAAAGGGCTTCAAATTAAATTCTGAAGAGCAGAAAATTTAAAGAAAAGCTTCAAAAAACCACTAGAGCTAAAGCAATACTCAAATTGAAACGCAAAAATAAAATTACAGACTTAAGCTACCAAATAAAAATAAAGTAAGATGACTCGAAAGGTTACCGCACAACTTGCATGGAACAGCAACAAAAAGCTCTAATTCAACCAAGTGGTTAATAGGACACGCTATTGATTATGGACAGGAAGAGAATCAAAGATGGGCTTTCTTGTGTACTCTTCCAGGTTTAGCCAAACAAAACAAAAAAATAAAACACAATGCTATTTAGGTTTCAGCATTTAGCATTACATACATGCAAATGACTGAAAATATATGCACATTAATTTACCTGCATCCACTGCTAGACTGATTGTGTTCAGAGTTTGCAATCATCAAACTAAATGCATTTGAGCTTGAGCTAGAATAAGGAAAAACAGAAAGAGGTTCATATTAGTAAACCTAACAAACAACTTTTAGTTCATCTTAGCTTTTTATTTTCCTATTAATGACTGTCTATCTAGGCAAAAAACCACTAACTTTAAAAGCTTCTGCCTGGTACAACAATTGGAAACTATAGCTGTTACACATTTGTCTAAGAAGATTCTTCTTACTGTAGCTTTGCTCTGTACTCAAAGCTATTATTAAAAAGCTGAAAATAGCACAGTTGCATCCTTACAAATAAGGGTAGACTGACACTTTTTGATATACAATTACAGAAGCTGGTTTACAAGAAAATATATAAATAAGGCAATTAAATATATAATGATATGAAGAAAGATTCAAATTAAGCTGGCCTTGCAGCATACTAGAGAACATCTATGAATTATAATATATTACATAATTTACACCATATGAGAGTACAAGCTAATTAGAACACTGAGATTCAATCTGAGGATACACTGTATACTCCAGTTATTATTCAGAAATTAGATTCAAAGGGAAAAAGCCTTTAGTGACAAAAATAAAAGTGAAGTTTATTTAATATTAGCTACTACCTTTTATGACAGTCTGAAGATTCCATGAGCATTGCTGAATCTTTCCCATTTTCATCAGATTCATGGCCGTGAGAATCATGCCCACTCGAGTAGTTTTCATTTGTGTCATTTCCACTGAAGTCATTCCCACTGGATCCACTGCTCATTTCAATATCTTCCTGAAGAACTTGAGGGTGTTCGGGCTTTGTCTGAATTTCTGAATCTTCAGCAATCATCTGGCTATGATTATTTGCAAGTCCAGAATAATCACTCATTTTCTGTTGCTCTTTTAAAGAGAATGATGAGGAAATGTTTTCACTGACACCACGTTGCTGCTCAGGGTTCTGCTCCTCACTGCTAGAGTAGAACTCCCTGAACTTGAGAGAGTCCATTTGACACTCATTAGAACCACTCTCACGATCAAGAGCAAATCAAGCCATATTCATAATTTTCTCTCTGTACAAATTCAGTTTGGAAGTAGAGACCTACAAATCTGAGGAGGAAGGGAAGAAGAAAAATAATTTTGTTTGCCTTTGCTGACAAACTGGAATTCTCACTGACTGATGAAATTGAAAGTGATAAGTGATATTCATGGTTAATATACTCAGCCTTTGAACAGTGAAAAGTGTAAGTTAATATAATTGTAAACCTAACAATATTTTATTGTGGAAAAGGTATTTATTTTTTAGCAAAAACACACACAAAAAGAGGAAGTGGAGTAAAAACTCCTTAAAAGTTTAAATATTCATTTATTTCCTATTCTCCTACTTGATAATTTTACTGCCTGGATTTGGACAACAGCTATTATTATTTTCAGTGAAATCATTCCCCTGGCTTCCAGTTTACCTTGATAAATAAAAAGATTCCATTCAGACATCAGAGGATTCCTTACTTGGTTTGAAGGTTGTTCGGGTTTGGTTTTTTTTTAAATACGTCTTAATTTTTTTCTTTTAAGATCAGTTCAGCCATTTTGATTAATTCCTCATTTCTCTCTTTGTGTAAGAGCCACATAGGTACGTAAACTGAACATACACTAGGAACAGGTGTACACAAACCTGCCTATTTATCAACAACAAAAATTCAAAAATTCTAACACACAAATAAGTCTGAGAATAATTTTATCTACTGATTATCACTAATTCAGGGGGGAAAATTGCATTTTTTGGAAAAGTAAGCTTAAAACAAAACAAAAAATACCTGTTTCTGAAGCAAACTTTAATGCACTAGGCTCAAAATCAGACAGTACACTGAAGCGAATGAAGAACAGACTAGTACTGAAGAGCCATCAAAGTACTAGAGAACAGCTCAATTTTATGCAGAAAAAGATACTTAATCTGACTCATTTCCTCATCTATTTCAGCAACCTATAGAGACAACAATACTGCCAAACCATGAACTGAGATTCTCCAAACAATGTACTTCATCATCAAGAAAAAAAGGGTTGCTTTTAAAACAACAGAACCATGTTTGTTCCTTCCTCTTCGTTCCTTCAAAATATTCCAGATTACAATTGTTGACTAATAAACCTCTGATTGGAATAACAAAGTCAATGAAAAAATCTGCAACTAAGTTTTGCTAATAACAACTGCAGCAGCTTCCTTTTAAACACAAAAAAAAAGTATTTTTTTTAGAAAGCCTGTAACAGAAAACATTGCCTTAATATTCATTTAAAACACACTATGATTCAGTTCCCCTTCCCGCCAAAACAAAACATTGAAACTCTTTTCTTACCCTCCTAATTGCTGTTTTTCCAGACATTTTACATTTATTTTGATTTTTTTTTCAGAAGAAAATACTACTCTTCTCCTCGTTTGGCCAAAGTAATATGCAAGATATCTGTTTACATTTGAAAGAGGAAGTGTAGTTTAAGGACATTAATTTAAGCTATCAGTATGGTATACAAATATTTTTTTTCTTTACAAGATTATTCACTAGTACTTCACTATAGGTAATAACAAAAAAACCCCTTTGGGTAGAGTAAAATATACTAACATTTCACTTCTGCATGTATTCACTTCAGGTACTCTAATCCAGACTAAACAGACACCCTGTTATTCTGTTGTATTGAACAGTAGTATGCAGGCAGGAAATTACACTTCGGTCCAGAAAAAACTGTTAAGAGCTAAGTAAACCACTTCTGTCTTAGAACATACATAACTGGAACATGCAATAAAATAATTTTCACTCTTAGATTAAACTCTAGGATTATTTCACAATGGCACACAACGCTGGTGGCCAAGGATTAAGTACATCAGATAGTTCATCTCTGATTTAAAGTCTCTGGTAGATAGAGCTTACACTTTCACCTGCCTTGGTCTGCTAGACATTTTAATGAATATGTTCTTTATCCCTGTATATAGTCCACTCTCCCCACACACACTCCCAATGAGCCTGACTGGTTAGCGGTACCCATGCTAGCACCATGGCCTGTTCTTAACAACGCAGAGCTGGCCACAACTCATTTTGTCTGAGTGACTGAAAATGGCAAAGGGGTTAGGAGAGGGAATGGAGAAGGTGGCACTGGGAATACCTATTTGGACAGCACGTGAGACAAACCTCTTGTTACTGCAAGGGTAAGCATTTTACAAATGTGTTAATCTATTCTCACCCAGGAAATGCTTTTACCACTACTTCAAGCGTTGTAGAAATAAGAGTATCTGTCTGGTTAAACAACTGAACCCACTCTCTCAAGAAGCTGTTTCTCATGTGTCATCTGCACTATTTCTCAGAGGGCCCTGAGGTTGTCAAGTTCTACAGAGGATTCAGTCAGTAAAGGTAGTCTAGCAAACTAGCAATGGGATGGCTTTTTACCTTCAGCCTTCAGAGAAGGTAACCTTGGAGATCATCTACGTTATTTTGTGCACTTCAAATAAATGCCTTATGCACAAAATTACACAAACTAACCCTGTCGTGATTAAAATGAAGCCTTTGGAAAGAAGACAGCCACAGCATCAACTGAAAAGGAGGTCTGACATGTAGGAATTTAAGGTGACATTGAACATCCCTCATACTGTATTCTGTGCTAAAGGTAGGGGTTTCGTCCTATTTTTTCCTGACCAAATGCTAAAGATCTTTAGACGCAAGACACAAACATACTGCCATAACCAAAACAACACTATCTGCTAGGAAACTATGTTACATGATTTCTTTAGAGGTAGGGGAAAAGCTCTCAACTCCCTCCGCCCCCACAACCTAGGCTGCTATACATAAATCCCTTAAGGAAAACTATATAAATCACTATTGATAGGTTCATAAGCATAAAATGCCAGAAGACAGACTCTCAGTGTAGCCCTAAATTCTCTAAAGTTATGTGCATTACTGTAATATTGGGCTAATTTATCAGGAAAAATGTGCTATTTATGGGAGAGCAATAATTGCACCACAGCTTTCCTACTCCGGATGCAAACACTTTCTATTTCAGTCTTTAAGTGTGAGAAACCTCTTCTCCTGAATTCTGAAGCCAAAGAGTACTATGTATGCTGTAGTATTTTCAGGCTCAAGAGTTGCCTACAAATGTTTTTTGGAACAACCTTTCCTTGGAAAATTATCTCCCCGAAGTCTTTCCTGTAATCTCTGGAAGTTTAAGAGTCAATGAAATTGTGCCTTAGCTAGCACACAGAGCCTTACAGTTTGAAATTCTGAGCTGTTAAATGACTGATGAGTCATTTTTTACACCTCCAAATACCATCTATTGTCTCATCTCTTCTCTTCTTTCCCTCACACCTAGGCCAGCTTCTGCCAGGTATTCATAGGAAGCTTCAAGTAGTGCTCCTTGAGGTGGAAGAGAATTGTTCCCTATACATATATAAGCTGTCCAATAATTTTAGAGGAATTTCCTGTGCCTCTTTGAACAAGAGTGGAGTAATAAATGACAGTCAAGATTTCTGGGTTTAAAAAACTATTTTTATTTTAAGCAATGAGTTCAAATTAAGAGAATCACCAACAGAAAAGAAATAGGAGATACCACGTGAATTTTCTTCCTCTCGACACCTAGCAGAAACTTGTGTTAGGAAATTCTTAAGTTGTGTTACTTCTTTCTCTAACTAGCAACACACCACAGCTTCTCCACCTTTGGCTGCAATTAGTAACTATGCAGTTCCTACGTAACTACATCACACCGGCTAGAATTTGGAGTCCAAGGACAATGGTGCCAGAAACAAAAATAAGTATCCTAGTAATGAAGATACAAGTTTGACCTTTTTAAAAAGGTATCTTTTGAGAAGAATTGGCTCAACTCTTTGAGGTAAAATGGTGTTCTAAGGCAGGACTGGAAGATAAATTTCACTGAAAGTCAGTCTTGCACAAGATTTCATCTGTTTCAAAATCTCAAAAGCCTCAGTGCTAGAGGCACATACCAGAGTAAGGAATACAGCAAGAAAAAATAGGAAGGAACAAGAAAAACATTATGATAGATTTCCAAGAGCTTCTGGGGAAAGAAGGAACAGGAGTGTTTCTAAAACAAGAGCTTGCATAACAAATAAAAAAGCCAAGATTCCCCAAAGAAGCAATGTTAATATATGACACATTTGGAGACATTTTCTAAGAAGAGATTGGAGCAACTGTGAAAAAAATAACAGACTGGCAATTGCCCTACACCATGCTCTGCACCTGTAATTTTAGATAAGAACTGATGTATCTGGCTAGACTTTACTCTCAGAAAAAGACAGACCTTAAGTGGAACATCTGCCTGCATGCACAAGCACCACGCAGACACTTCAGGAGCACAGAGGGTCAGTCATCCCAGAGAGATTAATTAATGTTGAAACTAATCTCAGTCAAAATGCCACAATAAATTGCACTTATTCATCCCAGTTACATGCTTGAATAAATTTCCAATCAATAACCAAACAAGAATGAAAAGGTAAAAGCTAGCATGCCTTCCCAGTCTGACGCTCTCTCCTGTTAACATAGTTTGAGGAAGGTAATTGCATCTCATACCAAGTTCATTAAGCAAGTACAGACAGTCACACAGAAACAAAGGAAGAGTTCTTTTAGGTTTTATCTTGGAGAAGTACATCAAGCCAGGTTTTTTTTCTTTATTTTCTGCTGCACCTTTCTAAACTTTTAAGGGAGGTTGTCTATTTTGACCCTGCAAATAAAAATTATTAATCTTAAATTGGCACCAGTTAAGCCTGATCTTAAGACAACTGGCTCACAAAAAAAACCTTCTACTCTTCTAGACAGAACAAAACTCAAAGTCACTCTGGCAAAGACTAGAACTCTTTAAGATCCTAAGGCAGTGTAAGAAAAACACAACGTAATTCCACTGAGCACTAACAACAAATGTAGGCGTTAATACGCCAGGTTAGATGTGCGGAAAATGTCTTCTTGTTATTCACTGGCTACGTTAGCGCCTCTGTCCTGCAGTAAGACCATGGAAACAGCCTGAACCTTACTGTCCCCAGAAAAAAACACCAAAATATATATGGACAAACATGTGAAGAAATAATGGTTTTATGCTTTGGAAAAACTCTCTTAAGAGGGGCTGTAGAA